CCCACACACTGATCCCAGCAAAACACACACGACCCTTCCCAGCATTGCGCGCACACACACACACACTGTCGAACACCACCTGACTACATTCAATTAAGCGCTCTGTGACAACGTGCTGTGAAGGGAGAGAGAAGGGAAGAGAAATGAACTGACTTTAAGTTGGCACCTCAGCCCATACGAGGAAGAAATACTTTTCCTACACCAGTAAAAAAGATGCAGTTGAAAGAACACAGCAGTTTCCTGTTTAGAACACATATTTAACACTAAAGTGCAGACGCAAGGACAGGACCTGTTACACAAAGCTGTGGCATATTTCAGGTTTTGAATTCTGCAGGCTCATTCCAGATACTGGAGCTGGGAAGTTATAGGCTGCTTATTATTTAGCGCAGAACAATGCACGGACAGATGAGCAGGGTTAAGACCATCCCTCCAATAATAAAACACACTTATTACTGCTAAGAGTCTCGGCAACACACAGCCTGCCCCAGACACCAACCCATCAGGCACATGGGCACCAGCACACAGGGCCTGTTTAGAGCAGGGGTTTCCAATTCTGGTCCTGCACAGCCCTAACCCAGTTAACCTCACAGGTCACCCTAAACCACCTGTTGGACCTGTAATTTTTAAGTAAATGATCAATTAAGCAAATAATATTTCAAGAAAGCAAACATCGGGTCATTGAGAGTTGAAGGATACTCTATTTTTGGTCCCACCCGATCTCTGTGTGACTTAATTGGACACGTCGTCTGTTTGTCTTTCACAGTTTACCCAGGCCTTCCCAAACGGATTATTTAAAAGCGCGGACCAGGTTTTACGTTTTTAAGATATGAAAGCGATCCATCATTCCTGTTGCTGCTAGATCATCAGCATGCACCTCATAAAACAAGGAAGTGCTCAGAGCATCTGGGGGTAAATAAAATGAAGACAGCCCTATTTCTTTGGGTCCCGAAAGGTCTGACCGCAGAGAGGTGCTTCAGTCCATTATCAGTGGACTTTAAGTAAACAGAAGAACAGTTAATACCCAAGTCAGCTACTCTGCTCAAATCAAAGTACGCTTCCGAGATAAGACAGCTCGAATTCACCCTTAACTGAATATTGTTTTTCGTCTCCAATTCCAGGGTTAAGCTGTGCCGTGCATGAACCCAGCAGACAGAACTGCCTCCGACTACCAATACTGGACTCGCAAAGTCGGAATGGTTCATTATTACACTGGTTATCGTGGACGAGTTTTAGGTGAAAGGTTATTGTATTCACAGACAGGGGTGTCCGAGGTGTCTCCGTCCAAAACTACATTTTCAGCACACCCTGTCCGACGACAATGACATCCACTCAACATGTTGGGTAGAACGGCGCTCCTTCCCTATCACAAACCGGCGTTTCGTTTCAATTTGCTTTAATACTAGAACTTTAAATTAAAGGAATCGATCATTTAAAAAAATGGAATTCGGTACTGTCGCCATGTCTCACGGATTATTATAAAAATGAGTGTGCAAAAGATTGTTCTAGACTGCACTGCCCATTTCATTTTGATCTTTGACATTTTCCAGGGAAACTAGACTTGACACTTACAGCCTCTGGATGCAGGGATATGAAAGGTGTCGTATTCTGGAGACACTGTAAAAACTGTAAATATTGGGGATCTAACAAGTTGATACGTACTGTCTCTCGGTTCTGGTTCGATTCCCCGGAATCTGCCTTCGGGTCTGGCGTCCACCACCTGAAACTGCTTGGTCTCTAGATTATCCAGCATATCCTCGTACGTCTTTACCCAAGAGCGCTTGAGTGTCGCCCGGTACTCCGAAGGCACGGGTTTGGAGTACTCCGAGCTGACGGGGTGTCCTTCCCGGATCCAGTTCTTGAACCCGCCGTCCAGCAGCGACACCGAGCTGTGCCCGAACACCCGGAACATCCACCACACCCGCGGCGCCGAGAAGCTCCCGAAGTCGCTGGCGTCGTACACGACAACGTGGGTGTCGTTCCCGATGCCCAGGTAGCCCACATAATCCGCGAACTCGTTCTCGGTGGGCAGCATGTGATCCAGGGGAGAAGTCCTGTCACAGCACCGGTCGATGTCGAAAAACGAGGCGCCGGGGATGTGCCTCTCCTTGAATTCCTTTCGGGCGTCCCGCTTGAGCTTCGGCAGATACCAGGAGGTGTCCAGGACCCGCAGGCCGGGTCCGATCCGATTGCTTTTCACTGCATCGGCCAGCCACTTCGCCGCCACCAAAGCCCGAGACTGAAGCGCCATGCTGGATTTTCGAGCCAAGGTGAAGCTCCCGCAGGTAGTTACAAAACAGCCACGCCCCCCGACCTCTCAACTTTCAGATCTTAAAAGGCATGGGGCTGCTACCGTAGTTGCACTTAATTTGCGCATCCTTTTATTGCGCAGTTTTACAAATATAGTTTGCTTCGTCTGTGGCGCTCACGCTCACCTTAGCCTCCAAATCAAAATCTATATATTGTTTAAACAAAGCGATAAAGAAAACCAAACAAACAGCATCGGGATCCAAATTAGCCTCCTCGTTCACTGTTGTTTCCAGGCGGAACGGTTTCGTTGCCGCACATCACCGCCGCTTAAAAAAAATAACGTTTCCTACCCGGAAGGTTATACCGAGGCGCCAGGTGCTAAACGGAAGTAAAAGCCGCGTGTCTTTACTTATTTTTACGTGAGAAGTGGAGTTTGGCTGTTTTTTCCGTGGTGTTTAATCTAGAGGCTTAATCTTAATCTTTAACAAAGGAAACGATAAACTACGAGTCTGGTATGTCGGCCTCCCTAATAAGGAGAGGATTGGAACTCTTAAACGATGACCTTAAAGGTAATATTTTCATGATGCCAGGGTCTTGGCAGAGAGATGCATGCCTTTTGAATAGTCATATTCATAAATATGGGTCATAAATTCTTGATGTATGTTTCATGAAAGGGTTGGAGGCACTACCATACTTTAAGAAATGTTGGGCTTTAAAGGTACAGACAGTTATTTTTGCCTATAAATGAATACCTGGCTAACAGCACTGAAGACTAGAGTGGTAGTCCTCATCTCAAATGCTGTATAATTTAGTCTAAGGATTTTCTACTTTTTCCGTGTGTTATGTAACATAACTAATATTAAGTATTATTCTTTTGAAAAGAACTCACAGATGGCCACAGTCAATTCTTTGTTTATATCATGATCTGTGCAGAGGGTGTTGCCTGCTTGCTCGGCTCCCTCGTTTCTCACCCGGAATTTGCAGAAATTGGATCTTGTTTTATTTTGGCGTCCAGTGCGAAAGCTTAGATCGGGCTTCGTGCACCTTTCAGTGTTTCAGCGCTGCCTTAGAACGGAAATCAAAACTGGATTGAAGAGAGAGTAAAAAAACTTGGAGAAACGCATTCGGCGTCTTCTTGTTTTAAAAGATCCCCCTCGCTCACTATTACCGATTTCGATTCAAAGTACTTTTTTCGTCGCCGGCGGGAGGGGAAAGATTTAAGCAGCCAGCGGTGCAACATACATCACGTACTAAATTAAACAATATGACTAGGGCAAATATGAATACAAACACCAAACGGACCATACAAATGATCATGAAAGTAACACTGTGCAGTATTTAAGAAAGTATTAAATTGCATGTACATTTGCAGAACGGGCTCTATAAAGGGATCATAGGGATAAAACGATTTCCTGCTCTTTATCTTGCACTGTGGACAGCGAAAACGTCTTTCTGAAGGCAAACGTTCAAAAGCCTGAGGAAGGACTTGAGATGGGTCTTTAGTGTTGCTGTAGATCTTCCTGAAGGTCAGCTGCACAGAAAAGCTGTTCCAGCAGTCTTAGAGGCTCACTGATGATTTTTAGTGCCTAAGTCCATGACATTTTGAAGGTGTTTTTTTTTTTAATCTTTTTGTCTGAGTGGAGTGAATCAGCACTTTCAAGCCGTGAGATAAAGGAACAAAGTTATCGGTCTATTGCCTCTTTTCCCAGGTGAATCAAGCGACGGGAAGCGGAGGAGCCAAAAAAAGGCAGACGTGGCTCCGGGGACCAGCGTGATGGACCGGATCCGCTCCGACAAGCAGGGGGTCACCCGGCAGGTTAGGCGTCTGCGCGGCCGGCCAGGTCCTGGGAAATCACGGGCTACGGTCAAGGACAAGCGGATCAAGTCTGCTGTAGGTATGCCCAGCACCTGTTCTCAAGAGCCTCTGTCAGCGTTCCGTATCTCTCGACCCGGTCCTGGTGACCCGCACACCTGCTGGCTTTCAATACATCGCTGAAGCCTTACCCGAGTTAAAAAGCCGGAATACCTGCAGTTTGTTTATAGTCACCAGTTTGGGATTTTATTTCAGTTCCAAAAGCACAATGCTTAAAGCTCCAACATGTTTAAAAGCTGGGAACAATCAGTTCACATTATTATTGTTGTAGTTGTTGTTATTATTAAGGTAATAGAGGGATCAGTTGGAACAGAAAGCAGCAGGTGTGTGTGGGGAAACCGCTGTCCTAGAAGCACTGAAATAAAGGGTTTCATTATTTGTACGATCGCTGGCAGTGCCTCGGGCGCCCGTTCCGTGACGCAGTTTGCTACTATTATGAAGAATCCGCATGTTTTGTGTCTGAAATAACAGCCACGCATTGACATGTAGAACTCGTTTCGGTTTGCCTACCGGAACAGTGTCGTTCGATGCCGCTTGAGAAGAGTCACCTGCCTCTTCGATCTCTCTCTCTGACCCACGGCCAGATCATGATCATGCGCAACCTTCTTGTGTTTTTCAGAGGAGTATCTGAAGAAGCAGAGCAGCAGCCATCTGAAGAGAAACCTGAAGTACTTCCTGGGCAAGGGGTTCAAAGCCGAGGAGAGCGTCACGGGCAAGGTGAGCTAAGGTGCTCCTTTTTCCACTCCCCACCAGTGACAAGAATCTGGCTCTGCCCTGCATACATTATACTGCTCTTCAAACCAATGATATTCACTCCTGGTCCTGGGGGAGGTGTGGGGGGGGTCAGGTGTCCTGGTTTTCGTTCTGCGTTAGGCTCTCAGTTACTTGATTTGAATCAGAATCACTTACGTACTTTTTGCTGTCGCTATTTCCAAGTCTAAAGAGATGTAAACTATCACAGACCTGGCCTTCATAAAGTCACGGTGCTAGGTGGGACCCATGACCAATTAAGCTGGATTTGGGGGAACAGAGAATGGTTTGAGACTGATGGGTGTCACATCTTAATTGTGCCATCTTGCGTCTCAAAACACTGTTTGTTCCCCCAACTCTAGAGTCTCAAAACACTGTGGGGGGGAACTGGAGGTAAGCCATGTGAACACAGGGAAAACATACAAACTCCAGGTCTGGAATTGAACCCAGGACCACAGTTAAGTCTTAACACTTTATCTAGTGTTTAGAGAATTAAGATGGGTTTGGGAGAAGTGCCCATGACTGATGATGAATTATACAAGTTGCTGAATCGGGGCTCTCAGGACCAATGTTTGGACGCCCCCTAGTGGATAAAATGTGCAGGGCCGCGCCCGTGACCTCACTCTCTGCCTCCCTGCAGATCTTGTCACAGCACCAGGGCCGACAGGCCCGAGACCGCCCCCCCAGCCCTGCCAAGAAGAAGGAGGAGAAGAGATCAGTGTTCACCGAGGCCGAGTTCGAGCAGTTCCAGAAGGAGTATTTCGGCAGGCTGGTGGAGGAGAACGTCTGACCCTGTAGGGGGTCCCATGGGACAAGGGTGCGCAGCTGGTTCCTCGAGCAGGGAACAGACCGAGCCCTTTCTGACACTTATTTGGGCACCTGATCAGCTTCTCTGGACTGTGCACACAGAAGCAATATACTGTGGATGCGATAGTGGGGGGAAGAAAAGATCATTAACTCTTCCCATCGTTCCTCCTGTTATTATTATAAACATCTTTGACTGGAGCAGCTTAGCGATTTCTCTTGTTCGGGGGCAGGTGGGCTTGGTGGAATAAACTGGGAAATGTGTTTTATTCCAGCCAGGGAATAAATCAAGTCCTGAATAATCAAGTGCGTTTGGAGTAGCAGCACCTACCTGCTAATTACCTTCTTAATTCCTATGGAAGCAGTAAGGGTGTACTTTATTGTTCCCACCTGGTTTCTGCATGTTGGCTTAGTTTTGGTTGAATAAATAATAAAGTGAAATCTATTGAGTGTTATTTGAGGCTAGATTTGTCTAATTATATAAGTCAGTGAGGACCAGATTATTTATGCCCTGAAATGTAAAACCATTGAATTGAAAGAGGGTCAACTTTATTTTTCACATGACTGTCTGTATATAAAACGTCAGACAGTGGACCTTGAGCATCAGAGCCAAGTCCCCATGTGTGAATGTATTATCTGACAAAGTGGCTGTTTTCTTGTATACTTTATTTCTCATGAGTGCTGGAGCAATAGTCAGGCCCAGTACTGGATTCCCAAACAGTAGAAGGACTGTTAAGATATGCAAAAAGAAGTGCTCTATGCACAGGGGCATACAACAGACCTTTTCCAGAGCCAAGCCACTTTCTTTTTAAATATTTATTGTACCAAAAATGTTTGTTTTTTTTGGAGGAATTCAAAATGTTGCAGATTAGTTTCCCCTCCCCACCTTGCACATTTTACATTTAAATGTTTTGGACCTTTATTTCCCTGAGTGACTCGAGGGTAAACTACTGCCAGGAGGGATAGAGTAGCCTTATGAGAAGGAAAACACATGAGAGCCAGTTGCTCTCAAGGATCACAGTGGACTTGTAATTGCTAAAGCTCGCAGGACACCATTCTCCATCCAGCAGCAGGTGGGGGCAGCTGTGCATGTTCCAAGACTGAAGTAAATTGTGCCTGGAGTCACAGGAGTACCCCCTAGTAGGTATCCCACTTGTCTGGAAGGGTCAAGAACTTGACTTCCTTTTTTTTTTAGTTAAAGGACTAAGAGTGGATATTGTTTCCCTTCACTATACTAGTTTCAATTGATTAGTTACATTATGCAATACCATAAAATAAAAGAGACAAAAAAAAAAAGGACAGCTTAGGTGAAAAACAGAAAAAGTTTCTTACTTTAGAAAAGTAAGAATCACTGCTCCAGTGGAGAGGTGCATAATTCCAGTCATGAACAGCCAAGCTCTCTTTGGCTATTTGCTCATTCTCTGCTCTTGAGGACAAGATTGAACAAAACACCACCACAATTCCACATGTAAGTGTCTGGCCAGAAAGGACTGGAACTGTGCACCACTGTGCTCCAGCAGAGCCCCTAGGTTAAATGGTTTGTGTACATGTTCCTCTGGACTTTCCCCAACTGTCCAGGGAGATTTAAGGCATTGTCCCTGTAGTGAAAAACCCATCCTACTCAGGCTACCACTTATCTGCACTGAAACATTTACATGTAAAAGTAAAGAGCTTTCATCCACAATCCTCAACATGTCAAAGCTCAGGTTTTACCAGGCTATTATGGAGACTATTCTGGAGACTGAAATCAAAAGGCATGTTTAAGTTCTAGAGAGATACAACAGGCAAGTTCAATCAGTCTCGAGATGCCCTAAATCATAATCATTTTTGACATAACTTTGTCACATTAGAAGTTATGTGAACTACACAGCTCAAATTATAGCCCCTTAGCCACTTTTCTCCCTCACATTCACATCCCTCCTGCACCCAATCTCCACCTTTGCAGCCGCCCCTTGGACACTCCTCACTCTGCATGGGGTTCCCAGCCTCCTCGTCCTATGGTCAGGTTAGCCCTCAGCCAAACCGGTTAAGCCAAAGTTTGCTATGACTAAAACACTCAATGAACTTACTTGGATGTTAGTCCTAGTTTAAAAATGCTAAAGAAAACTAGTTTTAGTTGTTACAAATAAGTCTCTTGACTTGAAGTTTAACCATCCTTTTGGTTTTTGCAACTTGCAAATCAAATATTTTGCTAGTTAACCATTGTGTTAACCAAGTGTACTGTGATTCAGCTCTTGAGTCTTGGAGAATATCTGTACTGAAATGATCCTGACTTTAGAGTTTTGTTAATGGCTAAACCATTCCATAATATGTTATTAAACAGCTACCATCACGCACTATGGGGCAAAAGGCTGAGATGAAAAGAAACCGCATAAGTTATTTTCAAACCCTGTGCATGAGGTTTCTAGGTGCTTGTGAGCTAGGCATCAACACTTCACAAGAAAACAGTGCAAATTCAGAATAAAGTAAGAGGAAAGCCTCCAAGTCAAAAATAGTTACTTTATTAAATGCAACATGATCTTCTATAAAGCAAATAGAAGGAACTTCAAAAAGTGCAATTAATGAGGGATTTAACACCAAGCATTAATCGTAAATATAATGGTTAGGTCTTGTTTTTATGAAAGGGTAAAACTTTAGTTTCTGGTAATGTAGCTTTTACCCAATTGAATTCTTTATATAAAAAAGAAAGGAAACCAAAGCCAAAAGTGAAAGCTTGAACATTTTATTTTAAATCTGAAAGCTGGCCATCTCACTGGCAGTACAGACAAAATCCCCATCAAGCTCTGAGCAGGTAACATGATGGAACAGCTTTTGTGAATCAAGAGTGTAAGAGTAAATTGGGAGGGGTGGAGGAATCCATAATTCTCTTAATAGAGAATGCAACAAGAGAAACATACCCAGACACCAACACCAGGAGAGAAGAAATTCACAAGTCAACTGGTTAAGTCAAAATGACAATTGACAATGTGGGTAGAATGTCAGTTTGCACTTTCTAAAAAGGGGCAATTACAAATGTATAGACAATCCCTGCTTGATCTGATAAAGATGTCCTCAAAATCAAGGACTTGTGAATGTCTAGACCACAAAGCTGTTTCAAGTCAATCAATAAGAGAAACATCAAAATCAATGGCAACTACTAGCAGGAATTTAGTCAGGGGGCGGGGGTCTTCATCCTATCAAGTGCTATATCTTGATCACTAATTTTTTTAGGTTAGCTTTTCTCCATGACATGCCTTCACAAACATGTCAGGCCCCAAAAATAACCCAAAGTTTTCTAGCTTCGGTCATGGCAGAACTACATCTGCAGAAGTGGAAAAATGACAACTGCAAAAAAAACAAAACAAACATTCATATACATGCATATTAAACAGCCTACATGAAGGACTCTGATGTAGGAAAAAGTAATTTGGGTGCGATGTTACTGCATAGCAGTTGCTTTCATGGTAGGCATTTCATGAATTTCATCCTGGGGATAATGTGCATGTCTCGGACATCATTGTGTTGAAGCAGCCAGCATAAATAGCGCTCTGTTCCCATCCCCCACCCACTTGTGAGCAAGGGTTTGACCCGTCTCATATCAACATACCATTTGTAGACCTCTTCGGACACCGTGTGCTGCTTTAGAGCTTCCTGTACCTTCTCGGCAGTGGAGTGCCGTTCACCAAGCCCCAGAGTCTCCCCTAAGCCCAGGAGCAGGTCAGCCGCTTTGGCCTTC